ATGAGCTGATGGTGGCTCCTTGAGCCTTGGAAAAAGGCATTGGAGAAAACGGGGAGAACACTCCCGAGGAACTATCCCTTCCAGCCCCTTAGGGCTTGTGATGCCTTCAAGACCTTAAACATCCTTCCCAGCACCAAGAGCTGCCAATTCATGTTCCAACAACTCTGCCAGGATAAAGACAGGGGGTTGAGATGGATTCAGGGTTACAACTTGCTTGTATAGAACAGTTGTTTCAGATAGTCCATTTGAGAAGATGGAGCTGGTTCTTCTGATCCCGCTCTGGGTGATGGACACAGGGATCCTGAAGGACAGGATTAAGTGCATGGTGATGGGGCTGAAGTCCAATGAGGTTTTGAAGCTCCCCCCCCAGGAGCCTCTCTTAACCCTTATCTTGGCTCCATGTGTCACGCCAAGGCAATGAGGTGGTCAGTAATGTCCTGGACCAAGATGGCCCATGCTGACCTCTGTCAAGGTCATCACCCATCCCCAACCTTTGACTGCTCTAAGGCACATTATGGGTGATTCTGCCCACGTTCATGTCACTGCATCATGTCCTGGTGCTGCAAGGCAGCAGAGACGCTGAGTTTTCAGTGTCTGGGTTGCTGATGCCATCATTTGATGGTTTCAGCCCATGTCCCATCAGGAACTGCGCATGAATTCCCTGTCTTCCATGGAAACTGCTCTGAGGTCTCCATGCAGCTTCTCTTCTCCAGGCTCAACAGCTCCAATGTTCTCAGCCTGTCTCCATACGGGAGCTGCTCCAGCCCCTGATCATCTTTGTGGCCTTCTCTGGCCTTGCTCCAACAGCTCCATGTCCTTCTCATGTTGAGGACACCAGAACTGCACCAGTGCTGCAAGTGGGGTCTCAGCAGAGCAGAGGGGCAGGATCCCCTCTCTGAGCTGCTGCTCACGCTCTGGGGGTGCACCCAGCACACGGGGGGGGTTCTGGGCTCAAGCACACACTGAAGCCAGGTCATGGGGAGCTTCTCACCCAGCACCCCAAGTCCTTCTCAGGTTGCTCTGAATCACTTCTGTGCCCAACTTGTAGCTGTGTGTTTCAACACCTTGGTGTTGAGCATCCTCCCTTGGTGCTGAGCATCCACCTCAGTGTTGAACATTCTCCCTTGGTGCTGAGCATCCCTATAAGCAGCCCATTTACACAACCCCCCATCTCTTTGTGTCCACCTCCATGGCTCATGGTGACCTACAATATCCCCATCCCCATGCGCATCCCAGAGCAGCGGCTCCCGCGCCACCCGGCACGTCCCGGTGCTTGTTTACTGCTCACATCCCTCCCCGTCACTTCACCCCAAGAGCTTCCTGGGCTGGTGTCTGAAAAGAGATTATTTTTAACCTTTCC